CACAGAGGTCATACACTCTCACTGGCAGCCGCCCTGCTGGACTGTCAGCCATGACACTTGTAACCAAGTGTATATTGATAAACACAAAGAAATACCGCTACGTTACTGTGTTAAGAAAATAACATGAAGACCAGCATTTGACCTCTGACCTTACAGAGTGTCATTGTTAGCCACAGCACTAATCTCTCCCGGTGATTTCTGGTTGCTTATAGTAACACTGTCTTTACCTGCAGTTACATTTATATGAAGGTGGTGTGTTTTATAGTAAAATTGTTACATATCCCCTCCAGATGTATTATTACCAGTATGACTTATATACAAATAGTCTCGGAACAGTAATGTGTGTCTAATATGTTTCTTCCACAAAGAAGTATAATTTCTACATTAAAAAGAATCCTTCTACCTCATTAAAATCCCAGAATCTATCAATATGCTAATTGTGCTAATTTCTAAAGTTTTCCTGCTAGACAAAATATGTCTCCTGCTTCACTGTAAAGTCCATTCTCCGTGGATGGAAACAAGAAAAACATATTTTTGAGAGGATGGTAAGCAATGCTTTACTGGAAGAATAATCATCCTTGATTGGAATACAGCACTAAATGCACATAAATCTTGCTAAATAAAATAGTTCTTAGGATGCAATGAAGTTATGTGACATTTCTTTGGTCCTCAATACATAGCATTGTAGGATTCATAAACAGAATATCAACAATGACCAATTACATATTTTTGTATGAGTTATTAAGCTTGTCTGGCAAATCCGGCACACACAATACAGAAATAACAACATATTTTGATTAAAAACTACTTTTTTACAATTTGCTGACCTGTTACAATCCTCACTCCCGTAGTAAATGGTGGCACACAATTAGCAACAAACGCTGGTAAAATATGCAAGTGGCGTTAGGTGTTAGAGTCTGCCTCACTCAGAAAACAATGGTAATCTAATGAGTGGCTGATCCAATTTAATTTAATTTGCACCCTGGTAATGGGTGTTATAGTGACTAAATGTGACAACTTTTAAAATCCAGCTGTTTTTGGTGGAGAAAAACAGAACATGTAAGAAGTAAATTAGAGGGAAACAGCCCAGTTAGAGCTATTCCTGAGTCACTGGCACAGTCTATCAGACTGATGGCCCTGAGGTAACATTAAAGTCCCTTCCAGTCAGAAATCAGTGTTTCTCCTTGTTCCTACAGTGTGCTGTTTGAATGCTGTCTGTGCAGTTTGACTCTAGAAGAACGCACAGATTTTCACCTTCATATGAAACAATCTTCGCTGACAGTTGCGAATAAAGTTACCATCTGGCTCATGTATAAAATCTGCATTGAAGGGGGTGGGCGCCTAACCAGCATGATTTAGTGAGACATCACAATATAGCAAGCTCATCCTGGTCCAGAAGCGATGCCAACGTGTACAGTCGCGTATGGTGAAACCTGAAGCCACCCGTGCACATCCACTGAGAATGGACTTTACAGTGAAGTAGGAGACATCTTGTGTCCAGCAGGAAAACTTTAGAAATGAACAACATTTGCATATTCAGAGATTCTGGAAGTTTTAATGAGGTAGAAGGAGGAGATGACTTTTTAAGGATATGGAAATTATCCTTTTTTTTGCAGAAAAACATATCAGACACACATTATTTTTCCAACCAGAATATTTGTATATTTGTCTTAATACATTATGTGGAGACACACGCTTTTTTTACTACTATTGATAAGACACTTCGTTTTAAGCCTTACTCGACCAAAATGACACGTTACAACACTATGGTAATTTATTAATGATGTTAAAGCAGAAATTCTGAAAAGACAACCCATAATGTACTCTGGATATATAAGTAGTGACAGCTGAAGCTCCTCTATTCTTCCCTTTAAGTAAATGCATGTTGCCTGTAGGTTGCATCACCACCAGCCCCCTGTGACCCTGTCCATGTCCTACAGTATTATGTGTGTGTGAGACATAATAAGTGTAACCTGTGTATGAGAGAGAGACTGCCTTCTGTTCCCTTACTTATTCCATATTTTAACCACTATGCTGGTAATATAGATGTGTAGGCGTGTGTTATTCCTGTTGCTGCCACATCCATTTAACCTCATCATCTTTTTGATCCACCAGCCACTATGGTGGAGTACTTCCTAAACCTCACCAGCTTCTCTCTCTGCCTAACAACCCACATATGGATGTTAAACAGAAAAGATGGCAAGTTACCTGCCAATGTTGCTGCTAGACAAATTGTACCAGCTGCACCGGCCTGCAGCCTGCCAGCATTTAGCTGCTGTGTCAGAACCCCCTCTGATGGGCCTGATTAGACTGGCTTTACTACCATCACACCATTTTATCTTGAGCTGTGTTTAATCATGAAGCTGTTGAGTGCAGAGGATCCCACAGGGACTAATTTGCTATCAGAGGTAGTATATTATTGTAGATGAGGGAAGCCCCCAGAGGAGACTGTAAAATCCTCAGAGACATGGCCCTGCCACGCTTCCATCGGCCGTAAATCCAGGTTACCCCCGTGTTTCTGTAATTACGTCAATGGACCACTGAGACACCGTGAGAACTGGGACAGTTTGTGTGTAAGGGAGCAGTTGGGTCAGTGGTGTAACCTAATATAATTTTTTATTTCTTTCCTTCTCTCTCTGTCAATGGAGACAGAATACAGGCTTGGCTGGGGAGAACCTCACCCTACACTCACTCCTGTATTGAAAGGACATGGGAGTAATGGAGACATAAAGATAGAATTTTTCAAAAGAAATCCCCTTCACACCTCTCGCTTGATCGTATTGGCCAGGATAATCCTGTGGAGCAGATAGGTGGATCTGAGCCCCTGAGCTTTCTGCAGCCATGTCACAGCTATAGGCTCTGCAGGTTTGAGAGCTACTTCTGTTCACTTTAATCAGCTGTAATGCAACCAAACAGTACATTAGGTTAATTCACTGATTAGATCTTTTCCTCTGGGTGAAGGTGTGTTAAAGGGGGGGTACAGAGAAGGCTGGCACTTTGTGACTCATTTGTGTTGTCTGTGGGGACTCTGAAGGGAGCCCTTGGCTTTACTGCTTGCTCCCATCTTTGGCAGTTTGTGGAGCCAGAAACCCAGACTTGGGCTGAGCGGAGTTAGACTGGGTGGAACTAAGAGGGAGTGAGCTCTTTTAAATACTTCTTATGAAAGTATTAGCCTTAGTCATTTCAGAAACAAACCTCGCTTTTTGTCTTAATACATTTTTATGAAAAAATAAGCTATTTTAAAGTTGCTACAAAAAAAAAATCAAATTGTATTACTTTTTTTAGCCAATTATGTATTATCTCAAATGAACACTCAGTTCTTACTCAGTTATTTTGATTAAATCAGTTCTCATCAGCTATTCTTGCTGGAGCCCCTTTTCGATTTCAGCTGGTGACCTTTATTGCATCTTATATCCCCTTTCTCCCTCCCCTTTCTCCCTGTTTTTACAGGTCACTATCCAATAAAAACAAAAAACACGATACAATAAAATGATCAAAGCTATTCCTGCATGTGCAAACAAAATGTAGTGGAGCCACTGACATGTAGACACTTTAAGGACCAGAGGTGAAATGAAAACGGTGTATGACTTCTGTGCCAATAACACTGGGATTGGGTGATATGTGTGGTCTGTCCTGAGGGGCAGTCTCATTGAGCTTGGGGGACCTGAAGGCAATCAAGTGCCCCTCCGGTGAGACGTATGCATATTGTATCATGGAAGTGACCTTTTAGAGCACAAATATATCCTGGTGACTCACAGCAAATAGTGATCAAATTGGCAGCAGTGGGATAGCAAATGCACAGGATCTTTTCTGGTTTAAGCTTTTCAGAGGACATTGACACCAGTGCTGTGTCTCACTAATTAGGACTAACATTATGTGGATGGAATTAATCTTGTTTACCATATTCCAGGATGCCATAATCAATTAATAGTGCTGGGTTCTGTATATTTTGAAAAGTTTTGATATTAGTGCCAGTGCGATATCAGAGTTTGAGTACCAATACCAAGTAAATACTTTGGTTGATGCTATAGTTTTACCCTTTTTCATTTAGCAAACTATGCCTCACTGCTCAATGTATGATTAATTATCTAATTAGTCTGAAGCTGGAAAAGTTACATTAGAGCAGGCTATCAGATACAAACTTTTCACACTTGTTGCATTGGACGCATTTTTGGTCAGAACAGGGTTCAAAGATCAGATTGGAGTAGATCTCCAGTTTTTGACCTCCACCAGCCGCCACAAGGATCTCAGTCTTTGTTTAACTGAAGAAAGTTTTCGGTCGTCCAGTGTGTAATGTTGCTGATGCTATTGACAAGATAACTTGTAGGGCTGAGGTCATCATGCGAGAGTAAATATATAAGTGTGTATCATCAGCATAAGATTGGAGATGGGTAGTCTGATTGGTATAATGGATTCCAGCGGTAGCATATAAAGATTGAACAGTAATGGGCCTAGAACTGAGTCTTGTGGGACACCACAACAAATTGCATGTCCTGCTTATTAAATGGGAGGAGACCCAGTAAATAACACAGCCGAACAGGCCAACTGAATTTTCAAATCTATTGAGTAAATTGTGTCGGTTGGCGGTGCACGTGTTTTTGTGACATAGACGTGATGACAGTGAACATGTTTGCTTGTCTGTAGTTGAGGGCCTCAGAAAGCCTGAAGCCTGGTGCATGAGAGCAACTTTGCCCGAAGGATACCATGACATCACTGCTGTGTGTTTGTGTGTGTGTGAGAACCTGCTGGTCCAAACATGCCTTGTCACGTGTCAATGTCGCTAGCCGAGTGAAGTATTTGTGTGTATGTGTGTGTGTGTGTGTCACCAG